TTTCCCTTCCCCAAATTAGAAAAATGTATATACAAGATGCAGGGCACCAACATCAAATACATGAAAACAGGGGTTATACAATGTTTAATTTCCTTCTTTAAAGTACTTTACCATGTGAGGTCAGGTGCCAGTGGCATATACTTAAGAATCCTAGCTACTTGGGAGACGACTGAGATTACGAAGGAAGAAGGCTGAGAAGAAAAGGTCAAGACAATCTTTCTCTAACAGGAACTGCATGTGGCAGAGTCTGCTTGTTTTCCTAGTTACTATAAGAAGCCTATCTGAGGTTGGATGACAGTACAGGTATCCACCCAGGTAGGAAGTGAGATGGATCTTGAAAGCAGCCAACACAAAAACAGGCCTGGTGACATGGCTCAGCAGGAGAGCACTTGCCTAAGGGAGGTAAACCCTAGAGTTCAAATTGTCCTCCTCCTTCAATTCAGATCTTTTAACTATGCCTTACAAATGTGGTTACTCAACATATAATACCAACTTTAAAATGACCTGAGCAGCTGTAGTAAGTAAAATTGTACCTTACAAATGTAAGAGTCAACAATCTTAGTAAACTTATAGTTTTTCAATATTCCTATAATCCCCCAATTCCTTCTAGCCAGATCCCAATGCCAGCCCTAGGCTGCTTTCTGTTAGCAAATATTTGTTGTGTTTTCAATGGGCATTTAATAGAAATGGAATCATGCAGAATACAGTCTGTTCATCAGACTTCTTTTCCATGGCACAATGAATGCTATCAGAGTTAGTTCCTTTTTATTGCTAAATAGATGCACAACATTTTGCCTCTAAGTTTACCTGCTGATGGATGTTTGACTTAATTAACAGTGTTTTGTTACTATGAAGGGTGCTGTTCTAAAAGTTATGCAGTGTGTATGAGTGGACATGTATTTTCACTTTCTTGGGTAGAAGAGGAAGTGGAACTGCAGGACTGTATAGTACTCCTCTATGTTACTGAACATTGTCAGAAACTGCAACTTGTTTTCCAAGGTGTCAGGACATTTTACATCTCCACTAGAACAGTAGGTCAGAGTTATGCTATCTAGGTTTTTTTGTTTATTGGGTTTGATTTTTGTTTTTGGTGTCTTTTCTGGGGCTTGAACTCAGGGCTTGTATGCTGTCTCTGAGCTTTTGTGTTCAAGGTTAGTGCTCTACTACTTGAGTCACAGGGCCTCTTCCAGCCTTTTTGGTGATTAATTGGAGTAAAAGCTTGATGGACTTTTCTTCCCAGGCTGGCTTTGAACTGTAATTCTCAGATTTCAGTCTCCATTAAGTAGTTAGGATTATAGGCATGAGCTACTAGTACCCAGGGTTAACTGGTTTGTTTTAATTAAAATCGTTTTAGTAAACCTGTAGTGTATTGAGCACCTTTTTATGTCCTTATTAACCATCATATGCCATTCCAAGTTTTTACCTATGCCAAAAAAGTGGGTTGTTTTCTTTTTATTGAGCTAAAATGAGAAACTAGAAACTTTTTTTTTTTGGTCTGAGACCAGAACTTGAACTTGGTACCTGATGCTTTTGTTATTGGCTAGCACTCTTCCAACTGAGCCATGCTGCCAAGTGCCCCCAAAAGCTTTTTTCCCTTCCAAATAAGCATGTATTATTATATGAAATTCAAGTGGCTGAAGTTGGAAGAAGTTCTTTCTTAAACTTTTCTTTTTTACAAATTATTTCCTCATATTCTTCTGCAACTTTTTCCAAGTTAAAAAAAAATACCAGGAATCCTAATCACTTCACCATTGACTTTGGAATTTGGCTAACCTCCACTATTTGTGTTTGGCCTGTGTTAGATCCAAGACTAGAAAGTTAGCTGGACCATCAGGCCCCAAGGTGCACAAGGCAGGTGAGAGAAATGCATCTGGGCATGAGTGGCTAACTGACTGCCTCAACTGGCACTGGTCATATAGGGGAAGGGTGAAAGGTCTCTGTGAGTCAGGTGCTTGTTGTGTTCAGTTCCATCTGTTTTTGGTGATTTGGGCGGGGGGGGGTTGTTTTGGGGAGTTTTTGGGGGTCAATTGTGGGGCTTGACCTCAGGGCCTGAGTGCTGTCCCTGAGTCTCTTTGTGGTGAAGGCTAGTGCTCTACCACTTGAGCCACTTGGAGATAAGAATTTCATGGGGACTTTTCTGCTCGGGGGCTGGCTTCAAATAGCAATCCTCAGATCTCAGCCTCCTGTGAGCACCCAGCGCTGGGCTCCATCTGTTAATGAAGTACAACGCAAACTTGCTGTAAGAGTAAGTATCAAGATCAGTGATGAGGTTAGCAGCTCTGCCTCTCAAGCTCTTAAAGTCCATTTGGACATTCCCTTTAAAAGTTTCTAGGCACAAGTGACTCCTGCTTACAATCCTACTTAGGAGGCTGAGACGTAAGGATCACAGTTGGAAGACAGCCTGGGAAGAAAAATCTGTGACTCTTACATACAATTAACCACCAACAAGCCAGAGTAGAGCTGTGGCTCAAGTGGTAGAGCACTGGCTGTGAGCAGAAAAGCTAAGGGACAGCACAATGCCCAGTTCAAGCCTACATGCATGTACACACACACACACACACACACACACAAAGTGTCTTTAAAACTTCTTTGTGTTCATCCTACATTAGAACAAAGTCAAAATGGAATGTCAACCCTACAACATCAAAATTCCATGGCAAGGAAAATTAAGCACATCATTAGAGAATGCTCTATGAAAGTTTCCCCTGACTCCACAGGGAGAGGGCAGTTCAGTGAACAGTGTAGTCAGGGATGGAGGGCTTTGGTGGCTTTTTGGCAGGCAGAAATAAGACTGCACCAGTCTTGCACAATGCAAACCCTAACACAGAATTGAAGAACTTAAGCCTCATCATTTTAAGAGAAAATTATCATATATTATTTAGTTTCCTTTTTGTGCTGGGAATGGAAGCCAAGCCCTGACACATGCCAATCACTGAACTACATACCTCTGCTCCCACAGTTTAATATACATATTTATATATTTTTATTTTCTTTGCCAGAATTACATCCTGCATTGGCAATATTTGGCACATATTGAAGAATTTTGAATCACTGTTGACAATAATAAAAGGTAGTAGCAAGCCTTTCTGGATTGTGTGTGTGTGGGGGGGGGTGCGTGCGCACACATGTGTGCATGTACACACGCATAGGCGTGTATGTTGGTGGGATTTGAGCCCAGAACCCTATAAGTGCTAGGCAAGTACTCCAGCACCACGTTATACACAGTCCTCCCATGTGATTTCTAGAACACTTTATTCCACAGCAACCCTTTGAAGGGTTTATCCCCATCATACAAACAAGGGAGCTTTAGGAAAGAGAAACAACTTGAGCAGGTAAATGGCTAGAAAAGCTTGTGGGCCATCTGTCCCTAGTATGTGCACTTACATACATGCACATGTAGATTTCCAGGGCTGGTGGATTTCTCAGTATGTACCACTGAAAACTGGATTATTAAATCAAAGATTGTGCACCCTGAAATTGCTCATAGGGCTGGGGTGTGGCTCAGCATTAGAGTCTTGCAGAGCAGGTGTGAGGTGCTGGGCTCTATCTCAGCACCATAAAAACAGGGAGGAAAAATTAAACCTTCAAAACAAGAAAGACTATTCTCATTCCCACAAACAGTTCATAAAATTTGGCGTATTTTTTTTGAACCTCTCCAAGAACAATTAATAGAATATTCTCTCCTTTCCAGGCTGTGACTCCACTTGAAAAAAAAAAAAAAAGCTGGGCTATGTCCATCTCAGAGAAACCCATTTCTTACTTGTCACTAAGTGATTTGTTGAATAAATGGTGAAAATAAAGCTCAGTAGTAGAGTACCTGCCTCACAATGTGGGAGGCCCTGGTTTTGTCCCAACTACTGCAGAAACAAAACAGCCACAAAAGCCAATCTGCAAACAAACCAAACCCTGAGAAATTAGGAAAATAATACATGACAAAGTGCTCCATCGTCACGAAGTACAAATAAAACTTGTATAAAGCCAACATGTTTGAGGTAGTTGCATTTATTTTAGTGTTTCCTTTATAAACTTATATTTAGAAAATACAAAGTTAGCCCAACAATTACTGATAATAAGAGCTATAACACCTGTCGAAACCTGGCTGTGTGGTACACTAAGGACTTATCACCTTATTTTAAGGCTCAGGACAACCCTATGAAGTAGATATGATTACTAACACTCTTATCAGAGAAGAAGCTATGCATATAGTCATGCTCTAAAAAACGCTGGAACCAGGATTTGAACTCTTCCCATTTCTATATTAATATCCTTTTCTGTGTTATAGGCAGGGAATATTTCCTTACCCAAACATCTATAAACATATGTATGTATATATACATTCCATGTATCATAAAACTCACCCCTTTAAAACTTGTATGTGCCAGTGGTTTTCAATATATTCACAAATAATCATCAATGTCGACTTTTAGAAGATTTTCATCACCCCTCACCAAAGGAAATTCCATACACACTAGCAATCAAGGTGAATACTACATATTACACAGAATAAGAGAAATGCAAATTCTTTCTTTGAAATAAAAAGTCTCCATTTAGTACAAGTATAAATGAGTATTTCCTTCAGTAGTGCACAAGAAACTGTGACTTGTAATTTTACCTTAGCAATGTGTATGTGACTTTTTAAGGAAAGTAATTGAGAGCTGGCATCAATGCCCAAATCAAATTCTTATGGATCAAGTTCTAAGGACTTGTTAGCATTTTTTCATTTCAGAGCCCAAATCTGGGGGTGCTATAGGTAAAACATTGTATAGCACAGCTTCCTTCCGCTTCCTACCCCCCATCCCCCTCCCCGGCCAGCTGGAAAATTAGAAAAGCTGGCTTGTGTGATATAAGCCACAGGAGCTTCAAAGACAGACGTTTGTTTTCTAGCCTTTGCTCATGCACCGTTTTGCAGAAGCAGAGCTCTCTGTGCGATCATTTACAACAGTCACGACAGCATCATTTAAGAAGTCCTGCATCTCCAGGAAACAATGAAAAGGACTCACTGTCGGTCACCGCAGAGTCTTCCTCACTCTCATCACTGTCCGAGGACGGAGCTCGGTAAGGAGGCGGCAGTTTCATGGGAGGTGGGGCCGTTCCTTGCCTCTGAAGATGCAAAATGTGAGAGGAGAGTTAATTGCTGTTGTGTGGCCCTCTTCTTCAGTGACAGAACGCGTCAAAGGATAATAGTTTGAGGATAACCAATTTCGTTGTAATTCAAGGACTGCAAGGGAAATAGAATGTATTCCCCAATGCTCCCACTATTGAATAAATGTGACCGGAGGATGGAAGCACAGCAATGCAGAAAAGAAGATGGCAAAGCCAGCCTTGTTGAAGGCTGCTGCCCTGCCTAGAAGAAGCATTTTCTTTACATTGTGCAACTACATCTTCTTTGTGGCTAATAAAGAAATGGCACTTTGACACTCAAAAAAAAAACTCCAAAAGGCAAAAAAGAATCCCACAGTATTAATTCTAAATTGCTTAAATTTTTCCTCGATGATAAGTTATAGATCTCATTCCTTTCAGAAAAAGAAAAGAAATGCCTAGATTTTCTAACTGAAGGTATTCATCTATAATTTAGAGATGGTCAACACACATTTTAATGTTTAAACAAGAGAGAAAAGACAAAAGTATGATGAATAATTACTTCAGCAAAAGTATGTTTTCCATTCACATGCCAAATGATACAGCACATCGATATTGGATTCATGCAGCTACTTAAAAGAGAACAAAATTCTATGAACAGATTACCTTCATAGAACAGAGCCATTTTCTTGAGCGCGGAGAAAAATAAAACATGTCAAACTTTAGGGAGATGGAAGCTGCTAAAAAGACTAGAAGCCGATATACCCAAGCCATCCACAAATACCCAAGTAACTGAATTAAGATGCGCTTTGCACAGGACTTCCGTAAAGTACATTCAATTATGCTTTCAATGACAAAACCACTAATAGCAGAGATGCTTTATAAGTGGATACTGGCGGGTCTATTACCCAGAGAAGGCACGAGATAAATTCCTCCAAAGTACAAAATATTACTGGGGATTTACAAGAGAAAACACATTATTAAAAGGAAAAAACAAAAACAAAAACAACCCCACACAGCCAGGTGCCAGTGGCTTACACCTGTAATATTAGCTACTCAGAGGATGAGAGTATCACAGTGAGCCAATAAATCAGCAAAATAGCAAATTGAAGACATGATTTAAATGGAAGAGGATCAACTGAGAGTGGAAAAAAGCTGAGTGGGATTGAAAGGTCCTAAATTCATGCCCTGGTACTAGCAAAAAAAGGAGAGGAGAGGGGAAGACAGGAGAAGAGAGGGGAGGAGAGGAGAGGAGAGGGGAAGAGAGGGGAGGAGAAACACTCAAATTTCTCTAATCAAAGTATTATATGTGTATATTTTTTCTAGAATTTCCAAAATCATTAAAATTCAAGAATGATTAAAAAGAGAGATGATATTAAATATGAAATGCTTATTGAGCATTAGAGAATACACAAGTATGATTGCTGTGGCTCCTTTGTTTTCCAGTATTAGGATTTTAACTTAAGATCTTATACTTGGACAAAGCCTCTAGCTCTTGGGATATACCCTCCCTCATTCCTTATGCTCTGATTATTTTTCAGATAGGGTCTCACATTTTTGCCCAGACCAGCCTGGACTGAGATCCTTCTATTTATGACTCCCATGTAGCTGGGATGACAGGTGTGTGGTACCACATCTAACTTTTCATTGGTTGCAATGGAGTCCTGCAAAGTTTTGCCCAGGCTGGCTTTCAACTGTGATCTTCCATAGCTCTGTCCCCTGAGCAACGGGAGCTATGAGCAGGAGCTACTTCTAAGACACTTCACCCAGCTCTTTTAATTTCTTTTTAGGTGTTCATTTGTTTTCTATTTTTAATAGTTTACATTCTTTTACTTCCTTATATTGTGCAGGGAGGGATTTCAGAGTGACATTTCCATACATGTTTACAATATAGTCCAATTAATCTCAATCCCACTATCACTCTCTGATTCCCCTCTTCGCTTTGTTCCCAAAACAATTTTAGCAGGTTTCTATTTTCATAGTTGTAAACAATTTACTTTAACCATAATCATCCTCTTTTTATTTATTTTTTTATTGTGAAAATACTGTACAGAGGGGTTACAATTACATGGGCAAGATAATGAGTACATTTCTTATCAAACATTGTAGCCTCCTCCTTTGCTTCCCCTTCCCATCCCTTTGTATCCTCCCCCCGCCCTCCCCCACCAAAGTTGTAAAGTTTGTTTTTTGACATAACACATAGTCGTCCTCTTTTAACATCCTTGTTAACCCGAGAGAGAGAGAGAGAGAGAGAGAGAGAGAGAGAGAGAGAGAGAGAGAGTGTGTATATATATATATATATATAAAGGTCTAGGAGTTTGAACTCAAAGCCTGGGTGCTGTCTCTGAGCTCTTTCACTCAAGGTTAATGCTCTACACTTGAGCAAGTTGGAGATAAGAGTTTCACAGAGTTTCCCGCCAGGGCTGACTTGGAACCGTGATCCTCTTATCTCAGTCTCCTAAGGATTACAAGTATAAGCCACCAGCGCCCCCACTTGTTCCTTTTAAAATTTTAATTTTAAAGAAAATTCTAAAAAGAAAAAAGAAAAAGAAAATTCTGAGTGAATTAAAGATAAAAGTAACATGGGTTTTCAAATACATTTGACTTTATGTTTTTCTCAGAATGAGGTTATCCTACGTCAAAGACAATACATAGAATGAGGACATCTGTGGGGAGGAAGAATGAGAGAGAGTGATGGAAGAGTGAGTCTAGTATATTAACTATCTATAGAAATATCACAATGAGGGCTGGGAAGGTGGCTCAGTGGTAGAGTGCTTGCCTTGCATGCCTGAGGCCCTGGGTTCGATTCCTCAACACCACATAAGCAAAAAGAAAAAAGCCGGAAGTGGCGCTGTGGTTCAACTGGTAGAGCGCTAGCCTTGAGCTGAAGAGCTGAGGGACAGCACTCAGGCCCAGGGTTCAGGCCCCAAGACTGGACCTCCCCCCCCCAAAAAAAAAGAAATATCACAATGAAATCTCCTGTGCAACTAATATATGCTAATAAAAAATTTTAAAGATAAGATATTTGGATACAATTGATGTCTTATTTTATAGCTCTTAATATTATCTCCTAATATATTAATAGTATTATAAACATATTTAAGGAGAATTTATAAATTGATTTGATTAGCTTCAATCAATATTTTTTAAAAAAGTATTTCCATATGTCTCATTGCGAGTTGCTGGATATCTAGAGGGTCTTTCTGCTGCAAGTGAGAGAAGGGGGAAAGGAGGGCAGGCTCTCCCCAAATGCAAGGATTAACAGTGAGGCCAGCTGTACCATCCCCACAAGTATAGAGAACAAGACAGGCTCTTGAAGAGCAGTCCTAGGCACATAGTAGGTCATCTTCCTTAATGATTTGCTGAGTAATTGAACAACTCCTCACCCCTCCTGCTACTTAAGATTCTCACAGACAAAGGTTTCGGAACTAAGTAATGCGAACTATTCTAATTAACAGTTCCGAGTATTAAGTTTGTCTGGCAGAGATACACCTGATTTCAGTCTTAGAGCAAAGATTATAGTTGTCTTTCTTTCCCTGGAAGATATTAACTAGTTTTGTGTCTAAATTTGAATCTTAAGTATTCTTTCTTTCAGCAGTTATAAATACTTCATTCTCTTCAATTCGCCTTCCCATGATTTCCATCTTATTAATGCCTTCTTTAATGGGCAAATAAATACCTGGCACCTGCATAGTTAGCATAATTTTACCAGTCGTCTTTTATTTCTTCTTAACTTACACTTCGATAGTTTGGGAATTCTCATGGAGATGCTCAAGTAGACTCACCTTCCAGAACTAATTAGACTATAAAAATGTTTCAGACACATAATTCATGAGTTGTTTAAGCCTATTTACATGATTTCTTGGCTCCCATAGTAATTCCAACTGATAACAGAATTTGCCTTTTTTAATTGATCTCTAATTTTTTAAAATTTCTAATCCTATGTTTTTGTTGTTTTGTTTTTGCTGGTCCTGGGGCTTGACCAGGTCCTAGGCACTGTCTCCAAGCTTCTTTTGCTCAAGGCTAGTGTTCTACCACTTGAGACACAGCTCCATTTCCAGCTTTTCTGGTCATTTATTGGAGATAAAAGTCTCATGGGGTGGAGGTGGGGGAGTGTAGTTGTGGAGATGGGAGGGAAGGGATGGCAGGGGAAAAACAAAGGAGGAGGCAACAATGCTTGACAAGAAATGTACTCATTACCTTGCTCATGTAATTGTAACCCCTCTGTACAGCATTTTCACAATAACTTACTTAAAAAGAAAGAAAGAAAGAAATGTACTCTTTAGGGCTGGGAAGGTGGCTCAGTGGTAGAGTGCTTGCCTTGCATGCATGAGGCCCTAGGTTCGATTCCTTAGCACCACATAAGCAGAAAAAGCCGGAAATGGCACTGTGGCTCAAGTGGTAGAGTGCCAGCGTTGAGCTGAAGAGCTGAGGGACAGTGCCCAGGCCCAGAGTTCAAGCCCCATGATCAGCAAAAAAAAAAAGAAAGAAAGAAATGTATTCTTCCCCTAACATATAACTGTAACCCCTTTGTATATTACCAATATTATAGTAATAATAAATAATTTAAGGCCAGAAAAAAAAGTCTCATGGACTTTTCTGCCTGCTGGTTTTGAACCATGATCCTAATATCTCAGCCTCCTGAGTAGCTAGGATTATAGGTGTGAGCTACTGGTGCCTGACTAATTTACATTTTTGCTTCTGATACTAGGTCAAAACTAGTCTGCCATTTACTTGGGCTGTAACTTACTTCCTTTTTGGAAGACCTACCACGTGGGGTTTGGTTTTGTGATGTGGTGATCTGCTGGCATTTGTAGGGATGATGAAGGTCCATTCTGTGCTGGCTGTCCAGAGACTGGCTCTTCTTTGGTTGAGAAGGAACAGAATGTGCTCCTCAACCTCTTGTGCAGGCCTGTTTGTGTCTGTACTGGAGCATGCCTAGGATCTACCAGGAAGAAATGCCCTTGGACCAAAAGATAAGTGGCTTTTTATATTTCCTGTGCCTGCATTTACCATATGGTTAAAGCTCTCAGACAGAAGCTAAAAAGCTCTCTGAGTATATGTAGTTAAGCGAAGTCCTTACCTCACATAGTAAATATACACTGTTCCTACTTCCAGTAAATTAATAAATTAGATGTAAGTCTCTTCAAATGAAAAAAAAACTCTGATTAGCACAGAGACTAGCTTTATTTAAATCTAATATTCGCATTAAAAAATAGTGCAACTATATTATTTTAAATGTGCTAGTCTATTTAAAAAAAAACCAGAAACCACCAAGTAGCATCCAAACCAGAAATAGTTATCTTGAAGGGGAAAAAATGAAAATTTATCCCTTTCTGATACCATATCCTAAAATAATGTTTAGGCCAAACAATTCTAATGGAATAGAGGCAGGAAAACAGGAATAGTGGGCGACTGTCTCTGATGACAGTGAAGACATGACCTCTGACCAGCTCATTGCCCTTTGGAGGACAAACTTCCAGCTAACAGAACAGTAAGACCCAAATCTCAGGAACAACCAAATGTGAGCAGCATGTGTTGGGGATGGACAAGCAGCCTGGCTGACCGGGAAGTGGACACAGATGCCCACAGCTAGCTGGCCCTTTACAATATCTGACCCTGCATAGCACCATGTTTCTACCCCCCATCCTGGTGCAAAGCAGTCACGCATACAGAGAGAAGAAACACATCACTTCTACACTGAACTGAGCTCATCACAAACCATCCTTATTAATTGCTGCCCAGGTATGGGGAAAGAAACCAAAGGCATTCTTTAGAAGCTGAAGAAGCTCAAGTTACCTTTTCTTTTGTTTCTTGAGTGTCTTGGTCCTGGTTATTGATGGCTGTGCTGGTCTTGGTATGCACATTAGGAATGACCTAAACCAGGAAGAAAACAAGTGGGAAGAAGAAAAAGGAGAAGGTCACAGGTCATATTCATTTTCTTCCTTCTTTTTTCTTACTCTCCTCCCTCCTCACTGCCTCTCTCTCTCCTTTCCTTCCTTCCTTTTTCATTTCTGCCCTCTCTCCACTCTTGTCTGTTTTTAGTTTAATTTTAGAGACAGGAACCGGCTATGTGGCACAGGTTGGCCATGAACTTACAATCCTCCTGCCACACTTCCTGACTCCCAGCATTACAAGAATGTGCTACCATGCCTCTCTTTGTTGCATTTCCTATTGGATGTTCTGTTTGCTTAGAATGCTGGGGGAACCTATGCCAAGCATGGTAGACATTGAGCCACATCTCCAGACTTTGTTACTGTAGAGTGTGTGTGTGTGTGTGTGTGTGTGCGCGCGCATGTGCGTGCATGTGCATGCTGCTTTGTTTTTTCTATGCTGATACTGAGGCCTTGCACTTTTTCTTGGCTTTTTTCCTTAAGGTTGGTACTCTACCACTTAAGCCATATCTCTACTTCTAGCTTTTCTGCTGGTTAAGTGGTGATAAGAGTCTAATGGACTTTCTGCCCCTGGCTGGCTTTATGCCATAATCCTCAAATCTCAGGTCCCCAAGTAGCTAGGATTACAGGCGTGAGCCACCAGGTCTTAAGCTTGTTAAGCAGTACATATTGCTGCAACTTTAGCTCAAAAGCAAATATATAAGAACTATAAAACTCAGGAGACCTGGTAAAGGTCTGTGACACTAAACTATTATAAAATTAAATGCATGTCACTAAGGCATAGAAATCCAGAGATCTGTATGCGAGGATTGAGCAGATAAAGATGAACTTTGTCCCCATTCTCTCCTCTAAGCATCTCCAAAATAAAGTTGCAGTGGTGATTTAAGCTAATTCCTAGAACATAGGAAACCCAATGCATTTCACATATGGGCCACATAATCACTGTACTCAGTTAAAACATGTCCCCCAGCTCTCTACATCCACCTAATAACTACCTCCCCTCACTGCTGGCACAAGGACGGATTACAGCATTCACCAATGGACACACTTAGTGGCAGCAGGAACTGAGTGATGTTTCTCACAATGCCCAAGCTGTTCAGAAGGGGCCTAACACATGGTCTTACTCAATAAACATTTCACAAAATAAGGAGCGCAGAAAAGGGAAGGAACATGCCTATGTCAGAAGCTGAAAACACGTCTGTCATCGGGACTAAAACCAACATAAACGATAAAGTCTCATTTGACCAGCAGATCAAAATTGGGAGGGGAAAAATGGACACAGAAGCTAATGGTTAGATGTATATGAAGCTAATACTTTCTGTAAGTAATACTCTAGCTATTGAACAATGAAAATCCGTGGGAAAAAATTTGGAGCTAAAAATCTGATCCAGAGCTGTGAACATAGATTAAACTGTTTTGAAAACTAGAAGTAGAACTTACCCTCGGTGTGGCTGACAGGCTCTGAACCACGAACACCACAGGGTTTCCAGCACTCTTAATGGCCTCCACTGCTTCTGCATGGGAGGCATTCTGCAGATCCACCCCAGACACCTGAAACGTGCAAGTCCCTCTGCTGATTAGAAAGGAAGAAAAAGGCCAGGTGCCTGTGGCTCAAACCTGTACTTCTAGCTATTGAAGAAGTTGAGATCTGAGGATCACTGTTCAAAGCCAGCCACGCAGGAAAGTCCATGAGACTCTAATTAACCACCAAAAAGCCAGAAGTGGAACTGTGGCTCAAGTGGAAGAGTGCTAACCTGAAGCAAAAAAATCTCAGGGACAGGGAGCAGGTCCTGACTTCAAGCCTCAAGCTACAAGCACAAAAACAAACAAAAACTTCACACACAGGACTACATGAATAGCTAGTAAAATCTGAATAATCTCTGTTGGATAGCTCACAAAAATATTAACATGGAACTCTACTAAGGTACAAGGACCTTCTAGTATTTTTCTTCATAAGTTTCTGACTCATAATTATTTCAAAGTTGAAAGTTAAGGGAAAGAAAGAAAAGGATGAGACAACATAGAAAAAAAACCTTACAAATTGAGTTTGAATAGGGCCATAATTTAAGTAAAATTAACTAATTTTACTTAATTCAATTAATTTTATTTACATTCTATGTGTAGATAATCAAGTTAAATTTTAGAAAAGATGAGCAATGTTCAAACTCTACAACCCGAAGTTGTGTACACAGAAGCATGCTTTGTAGTTCTTTAACATCATCTGGGAAATAACACGATGCATAAATGATGTGTCCAAGACCAAGCAAATAGGAGAAAAGACAGAGTCCCTCTCATCTTCTCACAATCGAAACCCCTTGCTGAGGACTCGCCTTTCAGAGTATGAATCAAGATCAAGTAAATTCAGCAGGGCATGATAGTGCATGCCTGTAATCCCAGCTCTCCAGAGGCTGTAGTGAAAAGATTACAAGCAGTAGGCTAGTTTGGGCTATATAGCAAGATCCAATCTTAAATTAAATAAATTAAATTAAAGCAAGTACACTCTGGGACTGACTGTACCCACTGGGTGCCATTTAATAAACCCAACACAAAGAAAGCCATCATATTCAGACTTTGGGCAGCTTTGCTGCTTCAATGTGCCTTTACAATCTCAACAATGCCATTCTCACAAAGCCCATCTACCCTGTGAGATGCATGACCCAGCCCTCCCCCGATGGGAGATTTTACAAGGTCAGCAACTTTCTCTAATGGCACAGATCTCCCACAAACCCACATAAAATTTAGAGCTCATTAAAGACTTAGGAGAAACAAAATGCCTACCATTCCCCCCAACCCATCAGAGCCCTTTGTGAAACTGCCTTTTTCCTGAGATTTTTGTTTTGCCCTCTGTCTGCTCACTCTTGAAAAAGTCAAGAATTCAGCATATTATGTACAAACGAACACACTGAAACAGAGGACTATAATTACATACATTCAGCGACACATGAAGCAAGGTGTTTTAGCTCAGCGATTCTTCTATTGTCTTACACATGTTTCAAACAAAATTTTAATATTATTTAATTTTAATATCATTTACCTCAAGTATTTTATCTCCAGTTTTCAGTGCATTGGTTTTTCCTGCTGGACTGTCTTCTAAAACTTGCTTGATAAATATACCTTTAAGCTCCTCTCCATTCTTCAGGCGTTTTATGACCGTTTGTCCTCCCACAATACTAATGCCAAGAGACACATTGGGCTCTCTAAAAATCTCAACACTGTAGAAAGAGAAAGAAGCCACTATTCAACAAGTTAATTTAATTGGCAATGTTTCCTTCATAAGCATTCAATTGGTGCCATATCCTGTGACTCAGATTTTATAAAAATAATTTTTCTAGCTGGGAAGGTGGCTCAGTGGTAGAATGCTTGCCTTGCATGCATGAGGCCCTGGGTTCCATTCCTCAGCACCACATAAGCAGAAAAAGCCAGAAGTGGTGCTGTGGTTCAAGTGGTAGAGCGCTAGCCTTGAGCTGAAGAGCTGAGGGACAGCGCCCAGGCCCAGAGTTCAGGCCCCACGACTGAAAATAATAATAATAATTTTTCTAAATGTATTGCGGGGGGGGGGGCCTTGAACTCAGAGCCTTGTGAGTAGCTAGTATTATAGGGGAGAGATATCAAGACCTTATTGTTTTTTTACAAATGTTATTAAAAGTGATACCTAATTCCAAAATGATAAGATGCTATCAGTAATTTACGACATATAAAAAAAAGGTTAAATTATGACATGTGAAAGGACAGGTCTCTAAAACAATAAATACTGCAGTTTAGATAGAGAGATTTAGCAAGACCTTAATGTTCCCATTTCTACCATTTGTTCTGTAATTAGCTCATATAATTTATAGCTGTCAAATCAATAAAGAATGGATGGAGGAAATGAGGGGAAGGGAATCAAGACAATCAGCTTAGTACAAAGCTCAGACTTGCAGAATAAAATAACTTTCCCACCGAGTACTCCAGCTGTTGGGGGTTTTCCCGGGGAAAACTTTGAACTCTGTGCTTCATTGATCCAAGGACAGATGTCATCCATCCCTAAAGTTAAAAGTTTTCTTTTCTTTCATTGTCATTGTAAGAAAGTTTAAGTATAGAGTGCAAAATTTGACCCTAGGGTCAAATTTAAACCTCAAAGACATAGGCCAAATTCAAATTAAAAAAAAAAAAAAAAGCAACTCAGAAACCACCTCCTAAAACAAAACTCTGAATGCAGTCAAGAGGAGGACAGGCAGGTGATGGTTGTGGTGAATTAATAATGCATAGAGAACAGAGAACGCAGCTAAGGGAAGGCTTTTATTAGCTTCAAACACAGCCCTGGTGAGTACTTAAAATCATAACCACATCCAAGAGAAGATGAGTTTGTACATTCTGCTAACTCAAGAGACAAAACTTGGACTTCACACCAGGAGAGGAAGGTAAGGAAAAAAGCTATCTACAGGTGAAGCCTCAAGTCCTATGTAGCCTAAGTGCAGTACTGAGCCCAGTAATTACTCTCACAGATCAACATCTGTAAACTGCTTTCTCTGACAGATTCAGAGATTGTGCTAATATAGGTTATAGTCTTTTTTTATGGGGGGAGGGTGCACAACAATACTAGGTAAGATGAAATGGAGCTATAACTTGGGTCAGTTTACATGTGAACCAGCAACACTTGCAACCTTAAGTTGAAGTCCCTCAAGTAATAGAAAAGAACGGGAACTGTGGTCCCATTGAGAAGGGCAATGATGTCACCCACATACATTCTTGGTGGACCCCAGTGGCTGAAGTTTGGTGTTTCTTCTCCTTCTCCTTCTTCTCTCTCCGGTAAGTCACTGTGGAGGAAGAAATGAATAAGTACACACAGCTTGTAAGACATGCTCCTCAAAGTTCTTGGGAAAGGTTTGAAATTACACAATCTGTAAGTAGTTACAGGGCTTATTATTTCATTTTTTTTTATTTTGGGGGTCAGTCCTGGGGCTTAAACTCAGGGCCTGAGCACTGTCCCTGAGCTTTTTTGCTCAAAGTTGGTGCTCTTTCACTTGAGCCACAGCTCAACTACTGGCCCTTTTAGTGCTTATTTGCAGATCGGAGCCTCATGGACTTTCTTGCCTAGGCTGGCTTCAAACTGTGATCTTCAGATCTCAGCCTCCTTAGTAGCTAGTTTTACCGGCATGAGCCACTGTTGCCTGGACAGTTTTTAATTTTAACCTTCTAAAATATTCATTTCAATAAATACAAGAAACAAATGTACTGATTTAACACTCAATGCAACAAAATAATGATACACGTACAAACATACATACATACACACACACACACACACAACTTATCTTGATACTATGACACCCTTGATTAACTAAATAACATACATTCATGACTATAATTCTCAAAACACTAGTCTGGGTGGGTGTCAGTGGTTCATGCCTGTAACCCTAGCTACTCAGGAGGCTGAGATTTGAGGATCACAATTCAAAAGCCAGCCAGGGCAGGAAAAATGCATGAGACTCTTACTTTCAATGAACCACCAAAAAGCTGGAAGTGGAGCTGTGGCACAAGTGGCAGAGAACTAGCCTTGAGCGAAAAAGCTCAGGGAGAATGGCCAGGCCCTGAGTTCAAGCTCCAGAACAGGCACAAAAATACAAAAAGGAAAAGAAAAAAAAACTCCATTACTCTGATGTCATGATGTCCAGTTTCTGACTCTCTCTTCCATTTTTGAACATTTCTTTTTTTTGTTTTTTTTGGTTTTTGGGGTTTTTTTTGTTGATCATGGAGCCTGAACTCTGGGCTTGGGTGCTCAGCTCTTCAGCTCAAGGCTAGCACTCTACCACTTGAGCCACACAGTGCCACTTCCAGCTTTTTCTGCTTAGGTGGTGCTGCGGAATCGAACCTAGGGCCTCATGCATGCAAGACAAGCACTCTACCACTGAGCCACCTTCCCAGCCTCCATTTTTGGTTGATATCCAGTTTACTGAAACTATTCTATGCTGACCAAGGGCATCATTGTGGCCAACAGCTAAGGAAATGTTTTATCTGCCTTGACTTCTCTGTAGCTTGTGATCACAGTCTGTGGTGATCCTTTTGTTCAAATCCTCTCTTCCATTGGCTTCCAATTTGACCTCTAATTCCTTCAACCTTTTGTTCATTCCACATCACTCCTTTGTCCAATCAGGCTTATTTAGGGACTAGCTCGCAGGGCTCCCACCTTAGCCCCATGCTTTTGTTACTCTTCAAGCTTCCCCTGGATGGCAATTGAAATCCAGGACACTTGCCTTTACGTGCTATTGCTCTCAATGCCAGAACAGTAATCCCCAGACTGAGGACCTAAAGGATTCAATTTCACTTTCAGTCCTGTGGGTATTTCAAACCTTTAATACATCCCCAAATGTCCCATTGCCTTCTCTCCCCACCTGTTTATGCCTCCATAAATTTATATGAAAGAATTTAATGTGCTACCATCTACATCACATCCTATTCCGGAAACACAGAATATCCCTACCTGTAACCTGCTATTAGCCACCACTTCTTGCAGGTTCTCCATCCTGACAATCCACACCTCAATTCGTTCACCAGGGCATTGCCGGAGTTGTGAACATCAACTCTGAATGAACCTCCCATTGTCTAAGGAAATACTATATGTAATCCATTCTGTGCCCTTCCTTAAAAAAGTAAAATTATATGTCCAGCCCAATTTTAAGTACTAGGTGATATTGTCCCAGTCTAATATAGTAGATTTTGTTATAATGTTGTTTTGTATTTACAAATACAGAACAATATTGTGCATTTTCTAAAAGCAGAACACCAAATCAAAATACAAACAAAATACCCCCTCTTTTATCACAGGGGTCTCAAGAGAAATGGCACATACCAGGCACGTGTGTTGTATCTGGAAGGCGACATTCCTGTGGAAGCTGAGTTCTTTGAAAGTATCCGGGTCTTTGGGAGCTGGTATAAAGGCAAATCCTGCTCCCTTCTCTGAGCCACAAGAGGAAGGTCACCACACATGCTGGCACCTTGGATGTCACTTGGAATCACCATGCCTGAAGAGCAGAGACAGGAAACACCAGACACATTCTTCCTTCCTTCATTCAGCAGAGGAAGGGACAGCTATGGGGCAGGTACCCTCCCCAACTATGACAGGGCATTGTAATAGCAAAAAGAACGCTGGACTGTAGGAAATGCCCATGGAAATAAATAATGAAGGACACTAGGATTCTCAGCAGAAGCCGGTGACAGTTCTAAAGTAAGGCCTCACAGAAAACACAATGACAGGGCTGGAGATGTGGTTTAGTGGTAGAATGCTTGCCTAGCATGTGTGAAACTCTGGGTTTGATTCCTCAGTACCACATAAACAGAAAAGGCCAGAGTGTGGTGCTGTAGCTCAAGTGGTAGAGTGCTAGCCTTGCACAAAAGCAGCTCAGGGAGAGTGCCCAGGTCCTGAGTTCAAGCCCCAGGACTAGCAAAAAGAACAACAAAAAAATCATAATGACATTGTGGCAATTATTTATTTATTTATCTATTTACTTAATTAATTTTGCTGGTCCTGAGGCTTGAACTCTGGGCCTGGACATTGTTCTTGAGCTTTTTTTTGTTCAAAGCTAGTATTCTACCGTTAAAGCCACAGCTCTGCGTTCAGTTTTTTTGTGCTTAATTGAAGAATCTCATGGAGTTTCCTGTGTGGGCTGGCTTCAAACTAAAATCCTAAGATCTCAGCCTCCTGAGTAACTACAATTACAGGCATGAGCTACTAGCACCTGGCCCAATACTATTTTATTTAAAACAAAAACAAAACTCTCCCTCGATAGTATAATTATCTTAATTGCAAATATCTTTTATCAATCTAGGCTGGCCCATTAAGAAGTATTCATGTTTTGTTGATTTGAAAAACAAATTACAAAATGAAACAGCAAATAACCAATGAAAACCGTTATCTTTTTTAAAAGGCTTATTTTATAAATTTTACAATTCCTTTACCCCTGTGAACATATTTAATTCTTAGATCAAACTATAAGTTAGAAAGAAAAGAGAATGGATGGGTGCTGGTGACTCATGCCTGTAATCCTAGCTACTCAGGAGGCTGAGATCTGAGGATCATGGTTCAAAGCCAGCTTGGGCAGCAGAGTCCAGGAGACTCTTATCTCCAATAAACCACCAGAAAACCAGAAGTGGTGCTGTGGCCTTGAGCTGAAGAGCTCAGGGGCAGTACCCAGGCCCAGAGTTCAAGCCCCACGACCCACAAAAAAAAAAAAAAAAGAAAAGAGACAATCAACTGTGTTTTACAGATTAAAAAAAAAGTGCAGGCTAAATTTATTTTACCAGATTTTCCTGGTGAATAAGATAGACTACCATAATTTATTTAAATATTTACAATGATGTTTTTGCCAAATTTTTATTAATTATGCTTTCTACTTAGGAAGGTTCGTGTAACAAGCTTGAGGTACATGGGAGGAGGTAAAGGACTTTGAACTGCTTACACTCTTTCCTAGGGTCTGGCAGTATGTTCTACGATTTTATTATATTTTGTATTTGTTTTTTGTCAGTTGTGGGGCTTGAACTCAGGGCCTGGGTGCTGTCCCTGAGCCTCTGTGCTCAAGGCTAGTGCTCTACCACTATAGCCACAGAACCACTTCTGTTGTTTTTTTTTTTTAATCATTTCTGGTTTTTTGTTTTGTTTGGGGGGGTTGTTTTGTTTTGAGTCGTTAATTGGAAATTAGAGTCTCATGGGGACTTTTCTGCCTGAGCCAGCTTTGATCTTCAGATCTCAGCCTCCTGAGTAGCCAGGATTATAGACATGAAACACCTGCACCGGCAATTTTATTATTTTTTAAAAGTAGAGAAGCTGCTGGGCTCTGGTGGCTCATGCTTGTAATCATAGGTACTTAGGAAGCTGAGAACTGAGGATCATGGTTCAAAGCCAGCCGAAGCAGGAACATCCCACCAGACTCTTAATTCCAATTAACCAACCAAAAAGCCAGCTGTCTCTCAAAGTTGATGGACTGGGCTGCCTTCAAACCCTGATCCTCAGTCTCGGGCTCCTGAGTAGCTAGATTATAGGTGGGAGCTACTGGCACCTGACAATGGTTTTGATTTAGTTCTTCTGGGGCTGGGGCTGGAATCCTTCAAGTACTCTAATCACTGAGCTACATCTCTAGTTCCAAGACCTATCATTTTGGGTTAACCACAGATTCAAGAACAGCCTATTACATGTAACTTCTCAGAAATGGTTATTAATTGTTCTATAGTTAAATCTAAGGCTTCCTGTTACTAATAGAGTAGATGAGATACTGATTAGATAGGCACCTCAGAGAACAGTCAGTCAAAGCTGGAGGCTTGCCTGTGTCCCAGCAGGTTCATAGTACAGAGGGGCCTGGATTAAAGCAGAGCCTGACATTTTCAGGACTGGCATCTCAAGAGGGAAGCGAGAATCGTGTTGTCAAAATGTGTTGCTGGATGCTGGTGGCTCACGCCTATGTAATCCTGACTATTCAGGAGGCTGAAATCTGAGGATCATGATTGCAAGCCAGCCCAGGAAGAAAAGTCCATGAGACTCTTATCTCCAATAAACTACTTAGGAAAAGCCAGAAGTGGCAAAATTGGTAGAGTGGCTAGCCTTGAGCACAAAGAGGCTCGGGGACAGCACCCAGGCCCTGCATTCAAATCCCAAGACCGACAAAAAAAAAAAAAAAAGTAGTACAAACACTGTATTATCAATCGTTGCTCAGGCCACTAGGGTCATCTCTTCATGCCTGCCACACGGCATGTTGGCATGGCTGGCTATGAATGCTTTCCATCTAAGAACAGGCACCAAGTATATATATTTAGCATCACTGTCAAGGTTTTATCTCCAAGAATAAAGCTAGGGCCCTACAGAGTAATAACTAAGGCAACGTAACAATTGAATTGCGGCCTTATTTGAGAAATAAGGCAAGTCTTTCATGGATTATCCAGCAGACACCCAAATCCAATGACAACTCTCCTTTAAAGATGGAAGAGGAGATACAGACAGGGCAAAAGGGAGGAAGACAACTGTAGACTGGAGCAGAGGCTGAACTGATGTGGCTACAGGTGAAGGAAATGGAAGGAGGTAAAGAACAGATTCTTCCCTAGAGTCTTCACCCGGATTTACGGCACCTTGAAGTGGGTATCAGAACAGTGAAAGAGACTGTGAACAGACTAGGTCTACTGTTTTAAGCCATGGAGTCTGAGGTATTTATTACAGAGCCACAGGAAGCTTGCACATACAGCAGAAAGCCTACAAGATTAACTGGCATCACCTATGTAATACAGAACTGGGCTCAACAGAGGACAGGTTTGTCCCATGAGCAAAATATCCCCTCTCCATCTCCCATTCCCCCAACCCATGGCCCCATCCATCCATCAACTCCTCTTAATCAGCCAGGCCTCAGTGGGTTACACCTATCATCCTAGCTACTTCAGAAGCTGAGATTATTGGGATTGAGGTTCAAGGCTAGCTTGGGCGGAACAGTTTGAAAGACTCCTGTTATCCTGTGCCTGGGAATGTGCCCAGGCAATGATTGAGAGCCTATCGCAGAATTAACAAGCAGAATGTCAGGGCTGGAGGTGTGGCTCAGCAGTAGTAATGTCTGCTTTAGCAAGTGTGAAGCGCACTTAGCAAGCTAAAGGGACTTTAAAACAAAACAAAACAAACAAAAAAAGCAGTCATCTAGGGAAGCGTGTGAAGCAGGGAGGGTCATTTTTCTCCCAGTCACCATCACAGACTCATCTAGACAAGTGCTTCATCGCATATAGGCCTTCCGTCTTCACCACTCATGACTCCATTCTGTCAGTTTTTTTTTTTACCCTGACCTCATATCAACTGTAACATCACCTTCTGTAGTGCACTCTTCCTCACAGCATCTCAGCATACAACAGGAGAAAACCCAGAATGAGGCTTTTCCTCAGGAAACATATAGCAAGTTGAAGGACAACGTAAACCTGAACAGTAGCTCTATAGAGCAATGAGAGAACTAAACAGCTTCTCCCTATCTGTCATACAGCAACATGCTGTATTTCAAGGTTGAACAGGGGAAAAATTATTGTTTAAAGTTAAGTTTTCAAAGGCATATGAGTTTATATGGGGGAAGGCAAGGAGAGACATAGTACTTCAACTCTTTCATGGAACCTAAGATATTAATGTGCTAAAATTGACTGTAAAGTATGGTTATGAAAATGTCCTATAAATGTTTTAAACATTCCTCTCTTTATCAATATTTAATAGTGCCATTCAATGAGCTAACAATACCACTTAATAGCATAGGTTTTACCACATAACAGGAGACTTATTTCAGCATCAAGTACTAGTTTTAGTTGTAAACCCTACTGTGGATAAATAGCACAGGGAGACAGAAAACCTGGCCCTCGCAGAAGACAGAATATGAAAATTCTCCATCGAAATCTTGCCAGGGCTGCTCTTTCAGGTATTCTGAAGCAGGTGCTTAATAAGCAAGTTCAAATTCAAAAACAGAGTGAATGACAGCTGTCCTTTTTTTTTTTTTTAACCAGTTGTGGGGCTTGAACTCTGGGCCTGCGCACTGTCCCTCAGCTCTTCAGCTCAAGGCTAGCGCTCTACCACTTGAGCCACAGCACCACTTCCCAGAGTGAATGAATATAAACACAAAATGAGCACAAAATAAGACAGATCAATGACAAATAATCAAACTGTGTTTATATGAAACAAAAGCCACAAACCTAAATCCAGGCTGCACTGGGCTAATGAATTAAGATTTTCCAGATCATCAAATCGACTGTTTCCTTCAGCGGAGGGCATGGATGGGACAGAATCAAAGCCAAACGTTGCTTCCAGCTTGAAAGGAAGAAAAACAGAAGTGCATTAGTACTTTATGAATAATTTGAAGCACTGCAGATAAAGACACCAGTGAAAACAGGTCTTAGTGACAGTTTATTCTGTGGTCAAGGTGTGAGAAATGCTGGTGACTTAATATGTAAAAGAGCCTAGGCCAGAAAAACCTGCTCTTCCTACACACTAATAAAAATTGTGAGCTGGGCACTGGTGGCTCACACCTGTAATCCTGGCTCCTCAGGAAGCTGAGATCTGAGGAGCATGGTTCGAATCCAGCCTGAGCAGGAAAGTTCCTAAGACTCTTATCTCCAATAAATGATCATAAAAGCCAGAAGTAGAGGGCTGGGAATGTGGTTTAGTGGTAGGGTTCTTGCCCTAGCACGCATTAAGCCCTAGGTTTGATTCCTTAGTACCACATACACAGAAAAAGCCGGAGGTGTCACTGTGGTTCAAGTGGTAGAGAACTATCCTTGAGCAAAAAAGCTCAGGAACAGTGCCTAGGCCCTGAGTTCAAGCCCCAGAACTAGCAAAAAAAAAGCCAGAAGTAGAGCTGTGGTTCACATGGTAAAACAGTAGCCTTGAGCAAAAAGAAGTTCAAGGGCAGCTCCCAAGCCCTAGTTCAAGTCCCAGAATCGACACAGAAAAAAATAAATTGTACTTGATGAACAGAAGTGGACTGAAGTAAACATTTACCAACATAGAAGATGGACCATGTCTACCAAAGACGTCAGTTGTGGATTCACACCATCTCTCTCTCAGCCACCTTACTTTCCAGGCTGTGACTTAAATAGCTCCACAGCTCATCCCAAACACAAGGCCAATTTTCATAATGCTAAGCACTGTTTTTATTCTGGCACAGGGTTTCAACAGGAAGACCTATTGTAATCCAGACTGGCCTGGAACTCACAATCCTCCTACCAGAGCCTACCGAGCACTGGGATTAACCAGGAACAACTTCCGGTCAGTTCTTGTTATCTACTTGAGGATTACACTTAAAAGTTACAGATAAGCCTATAAGCCTAGCAGAGGAGGAGGCTGAGATATGCAGGGTGGAGTTTCCAAGCCCATCCAGGGAGAAAAGTTCACTAAACTCTATCTCCAAAATAATCAGCAAAAGTAGGGCCAGGGGTATGGCTCAAGTGGGAGAGTGCCAGCCTATCAAGGAAGTATAAGGCCCTGAGTTCAAACCCCAGAACTGCCAAAGGGAGAAAAAAATAAGTAAATCAGATACCACTGGCTCACACCTATAATCTTAGCTACTCAGGAGGCTGAGATATGAGGATCCCAGTTAGACACCAGATGGAGCAGAAAAGTCTGAGAGACTCTCAACTCCAATTAAGCACCAAAATGCCCATGGGAGCTGTGGCTCAAGTGGTAGGAAGCTAGCCTTGAGCACAAAAGCTCAGGGAAAGTGCCCCAGCCCTGAGTTCAAGCTGCAGGACCAGTACACACACATACACACATATACAGCAAGTAAACACTGCTTACCTACACAACTCTAATTCTAGTACTGGGAGGCTAAGCAAGGAAGATTACAAGTTTGAAGCCAGGTACATACAGAGACCCTGACTCAAAGTAAAAATAAGCAAACCCCATTGTAGATAATGTACATAGTATACTTTGTCTCGTCTTCCTTCTGCATACACATCTTGTATGAGCTTCAAAAGTTATAGTCTGCAAAATGCCAAAATGTTTATGTCCTCCCCTTTCATATTTTGAGATCTGAAAGATGTTAAAATATGCTGTTCTTACATATTGACTGCTAATTTAAAGTACCCAAAACACAGCATATACAGAAAGATTGCTTCAGGCAATCAGGCATGAGGGACTTATGCCTATAATCATAGCTACTATGTGGGTTGAGATATGAGGATAGAGATTCAAAGCCAGCCTGGGTAGGAAAGATTGCTTTGCCTTTCCTTTGCTGTGCGTCCTAGTGCCAGGAGGAAAGGCCCCTGAGAGTTACTGTATTAGATGCTGTAACAAAAACACCATTAACTGCTAACTCATAAAAACAGCAATTTATTTCTTACTCTTATGGAGGGTGGGGAGAGCAAGCTGAAGGTGCTGGAATGGGTGTGTTTGAAAAGAGCCTGATTCTGTTTTCATAAATGGCACCTCTAGCTGAGGGTCTCTCTCCAGCCTCTTCTAGAAAGGCTCTTAAGCCGGGCTGGGCAGGTGGCTCAGTGGTTGAGTTCTTGCCTTGCAATCATGAAGCCCTGGGTTTGATTCCTCAGTGCCACATAAGCAGAAAAAGCTGGAAGTGGCACTATGGATCAAGTGGTAGAGCACTAGCCTTGAGCTGAAGAGCCGAGGGACAGTGACCAGGCCCAGATTTCAAGCCCCATGACCAACAAAACACACACACAAGGAAGGAAAAGGAAGGAAGGAAAGAAGGAAGGAAAGAGAAAGGCTCTTAAGGGTAGAGTGCTTCTGACCTAATCAGCTCTCAAGGGTCCCCAGCTAGTGCCCTCACCTTGGGAATTGTGGGAGCAGAATCTCCATTTCCATCTTGGCAGAGTTCTAGGATTCAATTCAAGTTAGAAAATGAGGGGAAAGTACACACACTTCTTTTCCAAGTTTTATGTGGCGCAAACACACAAAGCTTTGAAGAGGCAGTTAGAGTGAGTGCTCATGTGTGAGACTGGCAAAGGAGAATAAACCGTAAGGGTGGGTTGTGAAAGCTAAGTTACTCTGAGAAGGGCTGTATGGTGCTGTGTGGTATTTTCTCAGTTTCTCATCGTTGACCACACACACTAGAGTGCCAATGGAGATAGAACATAAGGATGTGGCTTTTCCTCCTGGTGCACAAAGTTACAATAGGAAAGTCAAAGCAGTCTGTTTTTTAAAAACTAAGTAAAGCTGGGCACCAGTGACTCCTATCTATAATCCTAATGTCTCCGGAGGTTGAGATCTGGGGAGGAAGTGCACACACAGGAAAGTCTGAGAGATTTCCATCTCCAATTAACTAGCAAAATGTTGAACTGGAGGTGTGATGCAAATGGTAGAGTACCTGGTGTGAGCAAAAACAGAACGAGAGAAGCCTATAAAACACACATGTATGTGCATGTGCACGCACAAAGACACACAACTGATAGCAAACAAGTATTAGCAAGGATGTGGGAAGTTTGGAAACTTTGTGTATTTCTGGTAGAAGTGTAATAAACTATAGAGTTCCTTCAAGATATAAATACAGAATTACCATATGATCCAGCAATTCTATCTCTGGGTGAAAACTCTGTGAAAACTGACAATACCACAGCCCATTGTCCTTGTCAGACCCAAATAAAAATAGAGCCAGAAGTTATAAATGGGGGAAGAAGGGGACATTCGCCTGCCTGCTGGCCTGCCGGCCTGCCTGCCTGCCTGCCTGTCTGACTGAGATAAGGCAGTTCCTCAGGTCTCTGTAAGATTCCTAAAAAGAATTCTCACTTTATCATGTACACCACGCTTTGTATACCATAAAAGTAAGCACAGATTTCAGTTACAAAACTTGGCATTCTCTAAGACTGCAATAAAGTAGATAAGATGCTTGTGTTCCTTGCTGTTCTTGACTAAATACTTGACATAAACAACCTAAGAGAAAGGACTGTTTATTCTCCAGGGTTTGAGAGGTGTCCTCAGCCCATCATGGCCAGGGCAGGGTGGAATAGGTATCTCCTATCATGGTGGCCAGGAAGTAGAGGAAGAACTCAGGAAAGGGCCAGGGCAGGATACAAATTCCTAGGACTTACCTACAATGAGGCTTGTCTCTCTTTCAACATCTCTCAATGATGCCATTTATATTATGAATCCATCAAGGGATTAGCCTATCCATCAGCTCAAAGCCCTCAGGATCTAATTGTCCATGGAAATGTCATCACAGACACCCCTCCCCCGCATCATGTGCTGTACCAATCTCCTGAGCATTTTGCAATTCAATCAAGCTGACAATGGAGATGAACCATCACAATGCCTAACAAACCCACTTCCACCAACAGGCTGAACCAAGACTTGAGTCTTCACTGACTGTGGCACAAGTACCTCTCCCCTCCCCCTGCTCATTCCCCCCACCTCCAAAATAAAAACCTCTCAGTATTCTTTGATAGACTGGCAAGCCAAAAGAACTGGAAGCAGGGGAAGCAGATACGGGGACACTCTTGGAATCTTAGAGTTGGGATGAAGGGTAATTTAAGCTAAAGGCATTTGGGGATTGGACTGAGGCAAGCCTTTGAGAGCTTCCCTTGCATGACTGCCGTAAGCATCAACTTGTGGGAAAGGAGGCTGTGGTGTCAACCAGCCAGGCCCACGCCCAAGAAATGGTAAACCTGCTAGAACTCTCTAGAAGAGGGCAAGATCATTGCATCAGAGAAACGTTCTCACAAACTTCCTTCTCTCCCATTTGTTCTAACAACCTAGTATCTTTCCAAACAAATCTCTTATTTTTCCGGAGATACTTCTTCTTTCTCTCCAGTTAATGTCTCTTCTCTCTTCTGTCCTTTTTCCTGCCACTCTCTTCTGGGAATCAAACTCCAGGCCTCTCGTTTGCCAAGCAAGTGCTCTACCACTTGAACCATGGCCCCATTTCCACTGATATCCTTGGCCAGTTATATTTCTACCCTCCTAGGCTTGAATTGAGGAAGGTAGAGGACATTTTTGTTTCTCCCAATGTATGCATATGAGAGGAAATTACGCAGCTCTACAAGGGAACAAGTCCTGACATATGCTACAAGTTGGATGAATCTTGAAGGCATATTACACAGTGAAATCTGTGGACATATAATGGTGAAAATTGTGAGTCCACTTCTGAAACAGTCAAATTCTTTTTTTTTTTTAATGCCAATATTTTTCTGAACTCAGAACTCAAGGTTGGTGCTCTACCACTTAAACCACAATTCTACTTCTTGCTTTTTGTTGGTTAATTGGAGATAAGAGCCTCATGGACTTTCCAACCTGGGCTGGCTTCGAACTGCAATCCTCTGATCTTAGCCTCCTGTGTAAAACCATCTTAAGCATTATGCTCTATAACCTTAAATGATGTCATTAAATGTAAGAATAGTCTCAAGAAATATTACAGATTTTAAAATATGAGTGCCTAAATAGACAAATGTCCTAAATATATATTAGGTTATTTTATCTGTAGCTTTAAAAGTTTATATAACAAGGAACCAGGCTGTCTTTATTTGGGGAAATTAAAATTTTATTTTGTAGAAAATATAGCCATAACTAGTAAGGAATGAAAAATACAGAAAAAGAGGCTGGGAAATTTAAATAGAGTTCACAATTAGGATGTACGCCCTTCAAATGTAAGCATTGATTACCATTTCTAAACAAGCCTTTAAAAAGCACTTTACTAAACAAGAGAAGAAGCAAGCCAGAGAAGCATCAAAGCAGGCTGATAGGAAGGATTTTAACCCCTGATGGTGAGTAATGACTGCTTGAGATAAGGGTGAGCAGCCTGGGACAGCAGCTGTGATCTCAAACAATCTAGAAGGAAATCAAGACCTTCTATTTTGGAAAACAATGATAAATGATCAGAAAATAATTCTATGAGGGACTTTATTTTTGTAAATTTACTACTGGAGAGTCACCAGCTTTGGGGTTTGAATTTAGGGCCTTGCAGTTACTAGGCTGGCACTCTACCACTGAAGCCATGACCTCCACCTACATTTTTTGTTTACTTGCTTTCATTTTTAGATATGGGCTTGCATTTTTGGGATGCCATCCTTTTACCCATACCTCCAGAGTAGTTAAAATTACAAAAGTGAGTGGCTAGGCTACCAGCTGACTCACACCTCCAATCCTAGCTACTTATGGGGCTGATATCTGAGGATCCCAGTTAGAAGCCAGATGGAACAGAAAAGTCTAAGAGACTCTTAACTCCAATTAACACCAAAAAGCAGGAAGTAGAGGTGTGGCTCAAATGGTAGACCACCAGCCTTGAGTAAAAAGCAGAGTAAGAGCCAAAGCTCAGAGATCCAGACGCAATACCAGCAGGTATGCGTGCATACGTGCACATGCATACACACACACACACACAGAGGGAGCTACCACACCAAGTTTATTTGTTGAGATAGAGTCTCAATAACATTTTTTGGAGATTGACCTTGAACTGTAGGCTTCCCTCTCCACCTCCCAAGTAGCAAAGATTACTGATGTGAGCCACTGCACCCAGCCCATACGGCCATTAAATATTCATTGAAATAATTTGATTATCTTTTATTAAATGTGACAAAACAAAAAAATTAACACTGTCTAGGCTTCAAAATATGGGTTTTAACTAAAGTTTTATTATAAAGATTCACTTGACTATTTTATCTATTACCTTAAACATTTATGTATTTTAAAAGACAGGTATTTTCAGGTTGCCTTTTGAGTGGATAGAAAAACCAGCCATAACAAGTGAGTATTTACACACACAATTTCAATTTTCTCTCAAAGCTGAACCCAGTGAAAGACACCAACTGGTGACTGGCTAATTTTAAATTTAGAAAAAAAATAAGTTTATTGGTGACATAATAGCAAGGGTAACTCTATTAAAGTCTAAGCTTCTCCTGTCAAGTCATAGACAACATCTCCAATGTAAAGACAATTTTCCAGCATTCACTGCTTTTGTAGCATATGTAGCAGAAGAAACAAGAGGATAACCAAGAAAAGACCAACAATATATATTTTTGTTACTTTTGCCTTGATTTCCCCTGAAAAACATGGTATGTGAAAAACCACAAGTGTTAAAAAGAACTCTTCTTTGAAATGAGAAATCAGGAAGACAATGCCACATTAAAGAAAAGCCAGGCATGGTAGTACATGCCTGTAATCCTGACAATTAACAGGCAGCTGCAGGAGAATGAGAAGTTTAAGGCTAGTCTGGGCTATATAGGGGGACTTGTCCCAAAAAGGAAACAAACAAACAAACAAACAAACCTGACACGTAACTATAATCCCTCTGTACATCACCCTTTCAATAAAATTTTTTAAATCTGAAAAATAACAACATTGAGAAAAACCAGCAAGGGAACAGTGCAGCTCACTGACTGCCATGAGAAGTTGTGTGTCCTCCACAAATTAGGACCTTAGGCTTACAGGGACAACCCCTCACTGTGAAAAGACCCATTACCTCTCTTGGGTTGTTTTATTTTTGGAAAATTACATGAAGGCAAGAGGGGGCTGTGTAGGGGAGCAGTCGGGAGGATGGGAAGCCAGGTTCTGATGACTTACCCCGTCTCCAGTGCTGTAACCATACTGCTGTGCCTCTGAGGAGTAGCCTACAGTCATGGACCCTGCATCTGGAGACCTGGGCCCCTCATCACCTGACAGGCTGTCATGTAACCACGAAGTGCCAAACTGGAGATCCTGCCTGGCAGGCACAGGCGTGGTGTCTCGACTGTGGGACGAGGGATACACATCCGTGGACTGCAAGCGGTCCTGATAGAGCTCGTAGTCCTCATCCACCAGCATCTCCCTCTCCTCACCCATCTCCTCCAAGTGAGGACTCAGAAACTCATGCATTTCCCAGGCCTCCTGGCTGGCTTCCATTTCTGTTGGTGGGGACTGGAAAGACTTTCCCAAATCTAGAAATGGTTCATCCACAAGTTCTTCTTTAAAATATGGTTCATCTCTAAAACCCTGTAAAAAAAAAATTGCAAAAAGCAAAAACAGTTAAAATGTTTGGAGTATCCACCCCAAGCTGAAAATCAAAATGTGGATATTACTTCACTCTGTACCTTGTACTAATGCATGGCTAACAGGCTTGGGGGGGGGTACATTTCTCCATTACAAGCAAGCAAAAATAGCAGCTTCCCTGAACATAACCAGTAACCCAGGAAAGGACAAACAGCAAGGTAAGGGACAAAATTCTGCCCCTGGCAAGGTGAATGACTACTCTAAAGTATCCATTATACATTAACCCCATGAAAATTCTCCAGCAGAAATAGGAGTTTGGTTAAACAGCTACCCCAAATATTGAGCCCATGTGCTTAATACAGAAAGTAATGAATAAATATAGTCATCCCATGCTAATACAGATATGTGTAATCCAAGCAAAAAGCCAAAGTAGAGATGTGGCTTGAGTGGTAAAGCATCACCACTAGAGTAAAAAACCCAGGCAATACAGTGAGGCCCTGAGTTCAAGTCCCAGTACAGGCATTAAAAAAAATATATATATATATAAAACATATAAACATATAAATATATAAATATATATATATATATATATGTTTAGCCTTTGAATGTTCAAATTACATTCTCTTTTCCTCTTTTTTTTTTTTTTGGCAGTACAGGGATCAAACCCATAGCCTTGCTTGTGCTAGACCATCACTTTATCACTGAGCTACATCCCAACCCTCAAAAACATGGCAGAAACTAAAGATATAGGCAGCATGTCTATCTACTTTGAGAGAATTTTTTTATAATATACTACATAATAGAAATAGGTTTTTCCCAACTCTTTTGACAATATCTGATAAAAAGGAATGGATCTATGATGTACAGTTCTCTAATTACAACAACTAATATAAAGTGCTAATAGTCATAGAGAAGCAGAAAATTTTGTTGAGTTCCTGGCTAGTGCTGAGTGATTGATTACATGAATTTGCTGGGCCTCTAACCTAACTCTGGAGAACCTGTTGGTGTTGGGCTCAATTAGACCCTATTTCTTCTAAGAGATCAATAATTCCTTTCTGAAGCCCTAACCATTAAGAATTACCAAGTTTGAATTCTTGGGATGAGCCTGCTCTTTCCCCATTGCTTTGCCTTCACCTCTAAATACCACATAGTAAAGATTTTAAATTAAAACAGTGCTGCAGATTTCCAAAATATTGCAAGTATTTCCCCCAAAAAATGTAGTCAGGGGATTTATTACACTCTATCACAAGGTTCTAAAATTGGAACAAAGAATGTCTACACTTTAAGTAATGTGACCCACTTTACAGGTGTGTGAGGTGGTGTGGGACATGGTCCTGAGTGACAGGAATGTTGTGGGGGTCATTGTGATCAAGGAAAGAAAACCCATACTCTTGCTGCAAAACAACTGCAGAACAAAAATAAAATAAATAAGAAAAACCAACAAAGCTCCAAAATGAACTTTCTATATTTGCAGCATACAGTAAGACTTGACCAGGGAAGTCTTCTTTAGAAAAATTATTCAACATGAAAATTTTCATTGTCCTCACGTACTGGCATATTAAGTTGAAACCCCCTTATACAACTACTTAAAAGAGATAATAATGTAATTTTTTAAATTAAAAAAACGAATTTTCTCTTGTTCTGTTTTCTACCCTATTTCAAATGTATTCCTATTTCCAGCAATACATTCCCAAAGTTAAAGATGACATTAGTGAAACAAATTAAGAGATATCTGTTCTTTGCAATAGTGTGTGCCTCTCATGCCAGCAGGCAGGACCATGAATCCAAATAGAGGCAGCCTGGGCTACATAGCAAGTTCAAGGCCACCTTGAGCTACATAGCTAGATCCTGTCTCAAAGTAAAGGAGTAAGGTAGGGGGTAGAGAGACGCAAAAGTGAAGGAGGTTTTACTTTTCATCTTTTTTAGCCAAGAGAATCACAACAAGCTTTTGTCTCCTCTATAGAAATCAGTTCACAGCAAATCATTCAAATGGGAAATAAAGTTCTTCAATACCTTAGGGGCTTCAAGTATTAAAGATGAATTTACATCATGAATTCCTCCAGAAAGTTCAGCCTCTTCTTCATTATTGTTTGGATGTAAAATGTAACAACTTTCTTCTTTCTCACCTTCCTAAAAATATAAACCATTTTTATGATCAAGAAAATCCACTAAATTTGGCACTGATAATAATGATGGTGTGAAGATTTCACGGGTCATTGTACATTAGATACAAGTTGATACATGCCAAAGGGGGGAGGAGGGAGAGAGAGGGAAAGAGAAAGAGGGGGAGGGGGGGGAAATGAGGGAGAGGGAGAGGGAGAAAGAGACCTTAAGCTTCTTTCTGTGCCAGTCTTGGGGCTTCAACTAAGGGGCCTCGGTGCCATCCTTGAGCTCTTTTCCTCAAAGCTAGCTCTCTACCACTTTTAGCCACAGCTCTATTTCCAGTTTTAGGGGTGATTAATTGGAGGTACAAGTCTCATGAACTTTTCTGCCTGGGCTGGCTTCAAATCGTGATTCTCAGATCTCAGCCTCCTGAGTAGCTAGGATTAGAGGTGTGAGCCACTGGCACTCAGCTGAGAGACCTTAGGCTTAAAACTCTCTTTAGCCACTTCTAATTTTGTGTAAGTATATAACAAAATGTATACAAGTTATTTCAATAGAGTGGAATGTCCTTGTATAATTTTTTAAGCCATACCTCCGTCAGATCTTCTCAAACTTCAAGTGTTTTTTTAAGCAAAATCATTTACCCAGTATTAGACCTCATTATATAACTACCAGGCACATGTTTAAGTACTTAATATACTGATGTCCAAATTAATGGATTAACAAAGTAAGTGTTCTTATTAACCCTATGTCACTGGTGAGAAAACAGACACAATATTTTGCCTGGTGTTATGCAACTTAGTTCCATCTTGAGAATCTGAACCCTGGCCGTCTTCTCTAGAGCCTGTGTTCTCTATGACCACATCACCATCACCTTACAGAGCAGCAAGGTGAATGCTGGCGAAGCTGCGTGCCTGGTTCCAGACACAGCCACACCAAGCACAAAACTAAGCGAAACCCACCCCTGCCCAGCTCAGCAGCTCTGCCAATCCTACCATCCTGGCACTGAAGACTGTAGTATTGAAGTTGCTTCATTTGTTTTGCTTTTGCTCTGGTATATCTGAGGTAAATTTGTACAAAAGAGAAGATAAATCACATTCACGGGTAAGATCAAATATATCATCTAGGTGAGAAAATCAGGAACTGCTATATACAGTTGTTCCATCCCAACTAGATTTTGGAACATTTCATTCACATCCCTCCCCCTGCCCTAAATCTGCTGTGGATTCAGGACACAACAGTCACTGTCATATGCAGCCACCAACTGTGCCATAAAAAAGGACAGAACCAGAAATCTCAGAACCACTATTTACAAGGAGTTCTGCTACAGGAACCCAGATGTTATATAAATATGTGCTCCCAGAACCACTGGAGTCACAGCCATAAACATGAAAATAAAGAATTGGCTCAGCATGGCAAAATTTACTTCTGCAGAAGGGTGTGCCAACAGCCAAAAATCTGGCAAGCCATCTGGGTGCTCTCCCTTCTGCTTCCCAGTCCCCCAAATACCATTTATTCCTAATGCAGCAGGCCCCGCCCTTCTGTTCAGATTGGCTGAGCTCAGGTTCACAATCTGCTCCTGATTGGCTAGCTTGAATTGGGTAAAATGTATTTGTATAAGGTGACTTTTGACTTCAGATTAACAGTACACAAGGAATCTCAAAATGTACCCCCACCCTTTAAAAGTCTGGGCCTATCAATTACATCTAGTAAAGAAACCAGTGTAAGACAAAACCTTACATTTCAAAAGCCTTCCTTATCCCAGCAGTTCCTCTTTTCCTGAGTGAAAAGAGCCAAGCCACCAGGCCAAAGCAGGGACTTTTAAGCCCCTTGCTGACAGAAAAGACAGCTTTTCTCACATAAAGAAGAAACTCTTAGTAATGGTTTAAAAAGTTGGCCTTTCTCTTGATCCCTTCACTGGCCTCCTGCTCCTAAGGAGCCACAAACTCATGGAGGGAGAAAAGCCTAGGGATAGGTCCTCCCCACAAAACATTCCAGAAGACTCTCAGAGCAATGTCCCAGGTGTGAGGGCTCCACAGCTCTCTCTCCACCAACACAGCACAGAAATGCACATCCTGTTGGTGCTGAGCCCCAATTCTTTACACTGCCTCAGACTTGCAAAAACTGCTTCAAGATCACAGTTGGGCTGCTTAAGTCCTATAGTATGCAAATAGTCTGGGATTTTCCCATGCCACCACAACAACCTAGCAAATAAACTATCAGGAAATAAAAAAAAAAAATCTAGACAAAGTACCTGCTACCGTCTAGAATACTAAGTGAGATCTTATAAAATATGAATAGTTTTCCCCTACTGGATTTATCTGAAAACCAAACACCTTCCAGTACCATCTGTTGGACTATGACAGTACTTATACCAAGTACACAAAATGCTAAGCACATGATTAGCAATGTGCTAGACTTCATTTGGAAGGATTCCATGTGTCAGAGATTGGTCTAATATACAGGCATTTTATTAGGATCCATAGATGAAGAATAAAAAAATGGGATACTAAAATTGGAGGTGTGACCCTGTGACAGAACATCTGCTGATGTGCAAACATTCAGTCCCAGAACCACACATTTTAGAAAGTTAGTACAAGAAGGCCACACAGAGGCTTTCACGTATAAAATGATTCTATGGAATACATGCTTCTATTTCCATGTATGAAAATAACTGTCTGTATTCACCCATCTAGCTGGCTGTGCATTCACAGGGTGTCATTCACTCAGCATGCTAACAGATCCATATAACACAACTTTAGAATGAAGAAAAACCTCAGTCCTCTATTCTTATCCATTCTTTTTGGGAATTAAAAGAAGTTCTTAGAAGAAACAAGGTATTCTGACTGGTCAAACTGCTTATACAATATTTCTTTTCATTTGTTTGGTTGGTGGTTTGGATGGGAGAGGGTTGGTGGCTTGGGTGGTGGGGTTTTTTGCTGTTTGTTTTTGTTAGTTTGTACCAGTACTATGGCTTGAACTTAAGATGTCTTGCTTTCCTATAAATATTTTACTCAACAGTAGTACTGTACCATGAGTCACACTTCTACTTCCAGTTTTTTGATGAAAAGGTTGCAAAGATTTTTCTGCCAAACTGGCTTTGAATCAGAATCCTCAGGCCTCAGCCTCCTGGACGCTTGGTTTCAAGGCTGAGCCACCTTTATAAAACATTCCTCAAAGTGCAAAATCTAAGAAATGCCTGTGACCAACTGAAAAGGAACCTTCCTGAACAGCACATCAGAATGACTACCTCAGAATCTCCAAGGGTAGGATGGGAGAAACTCCATTTTAACCACCTCCTGTGGGTTCCTGCCTATTTGACATCTTCATGAGTCATTTCTGTGCCTTACCAATTAATTATATGGCCCTGGAGAATAACTCAACTCTCTGTACCTTCACTGGGTAATTTGTAAGGAGAACAAGGAGACTACCCTTAACATTGCTTTTATATTAGTTAATATATACATAGGCTTCAATTGACAAGTACATTATCTCATAAAAATATGTATATTTTTAAGCCTGTGTGTGTGTGTGTGTGTGTGTGTATACATACATAGGCTTAAAATCCTGAATGACACAGAGTAAACACTTGGCAGAATTTTTAAACCAGGTGAAAATTATCAATTATTTATTGCATGAAATATCTTCATAGCACTGGGACAGTAAGGTGCCCCTGCATTGGGAATCATCAGTTGATAGTATAATACAAGAAGACAACATCCACATGGCTTTACCATACAGGAGTTTTAGATGCTTGGGGCTGCTAGGCCCCAAGTAGAAAAGCATTAATTCTCATTGCTCTATGGTTAAAATGACACAATTAACTAGATTTCAACCTATTGTGCCATCTTAACATCCTTCTCGAGTAAAAGATCAAATGCAGAAACATTTACTTTAGAAGTGCATGCTAAAGCCAGGGAGATGAATGAAAACAGGAGTGAAGGAAGTAGCAGAGCACTCGTGAGGATAATGATGTGCTGTGCACCTATCCAATTCAATCCTCTTTAATCCTCAAACCTTACCAGGTAGACATTGCTTCTAATGCTACAACTAAAGGACATTGAGAATTATAGTCAGGAACTGCTGGCTCACACCTGTAATCCTAGCTCTTCCTCTTAGGCAGCTGAGATATGAGAATCATGGTTCTAAGCCAATCCAGGCAGACAAATCCAAGAGCCTCTTATCTCCAATTAACCAGCAAAAAGTCAGAAGTTAAAGGTGCGACTCAAGTAGCAGAGTACCAGTGTTGGATGAAAAAGGTTAAGCAAGGGCAAGAGGCTCTGAGTTCAAGCCCCAATAATACTGGCACAAGAAGGAGAAAAAACAAAAGATGCTGAAGATCAAACAGGGATTCCAGGCCAGGTACACCTGTCTTCAAAAATCCACATTCTGAACTTCTGAATGATGATCACTTCCTACAGTAAATAACAAAATCCAGCACTTACTGTCAAAGGCTTGCAGATGCCAAGGTACACAGTGCCAGGGGGTACTGCCTTCAACACTTCTACTGCATCAGCAAGCGTGGTGTTGTCCAAACAGAACTGGTTGACGGAGACCAGGCGGTCACCAGGTAAGAGTTCTCCACTTCTTTCCGCTACACCATCTGCTACCAGGGAGCGGATCACAATCACAGACCTGGTGGGGTCTAGAGGATCCTATGAATAATGCAAAGATCTATGAGTCAGGACAACCTATGCTTCAGAAAACACGTTACTATTTACTTCCTGTGATTTGCATTCTGAAGCCATGCTCAAGGCAACATGCAATAAAATAGAATATCACTGGACATCCACACAAACAGCACCTTGAATCAAGGTGGAGATAGAATCTTAACACTTGCACTTAACACTGTCTGAGTGCTCAATTCAGGTAAACGTGTCTGTTAAACCTCTGGTGACTGACATAGTTGGACTACAAGGTGTCTGCGAACAGCTGGGAAGTAGAGGTGTAGCAAATGGCAGGTAAAACATCAGCCTTGAGCAAAACTGTTAAGTGAAAGTGTAAGGCCCTGAGTTCAAGCCCCAATAGGGAAGCACACACATACATACACGCACACACACACACACGCACACACACAATCAAACTATTATTAAAACTCAATCTTAGAGAGGGGAGGGGTTTTCCTATGTTGCTCCTATTGTTAAATCATGTGCACACTGTTCCACAAAAGCAAGTCTTAGCAATTAGCTCCTATTAAGCCCTTCCTTAAACCAGAGAAGTTAAACTGCCAACTTCTGTGTTAGCTGCCCTTTCCCTTTCCTCTCCTCGCTACCCATCACTTTATCTTCCCTCCTCTCATCCCTTCCTTTCCCCACCTCCTTCTCCCTTTCCCTTTCCTTCCTCCCTCTCTCACTTCCCTTTTTCTCTCCTTCCTTCTCCCTCTCCCTCCCCCTCCTTCTCCCTTTCTTGCTTGCTCAAGACTAGCACTCTACTGCTTTGAGCCACAGCTCCACTTCAGGTTTTCTGTGTTAAACTGGAGATAAGAGTCTTAACAGCCTTTCCTGCCCAGGCTGACTGAACTTTGATCCTCAGATCTCAGCATCCTGAGTAGCTAATATTATAGGCACGAGCCACCAGTGTCCAGCTTCTCTTTTCTTTGTGAAGACAAGGTTTCACTACTAGCTCAGGCTAGTCAAAACTCATGACCCTGCTGCCTCAGACTCTGAAGTGCTAGGATTCTAGGCATGCACCATCATGCCTGGCTTTTGAAGTTTTCCTTCTGATCCAGTGTTCTATATCTCTTGTGTTCCAGATATCATAGCTCACTTTCAAAGTTGTACACACAATTTTAACCAAATATATCATATTGAAGCCAACAAACACTGCACAGCTACTTTCTTGGGGGGAAAAAAAAAGCCTTCAAACAGCTTTGCTTCGCTTAGCTAACCTTGCCTTTCTCCCTAAGTTAAGAGATCCTTGGTCATTTTCTTATATGCTCTAGTATTTTACTCCATATATTTATGGAGAGAATTAAAAGCAAAAAAAAAAATAGTCCAGGGAACTCACTAATAAAGTATGCAGTGTTAAAGTATAATTACACCAATATTTTCAAGTAGAGGGAGCTATTGCCTAGGAAGAGAAGAGAAGGGACATGGAAAGTCAGTTGGTATATCAGCGGGCAATCAGCACAGGAATATAAAAGAGCTGTCTATTCTGTCACCAGTAACCATGAATCACAACACACTTTCTATGCTGAAATATGAAACCATTACATTTTAAGTTTGACACACTAATAAATAAGCTGTACAATTATGTCCTTCATTTAGGATGTCAGTTTTTGATGAAAGGCTTTTTTATTGAGGAGGAAGGCAAACTACATTATAGCTCACTCCTCTCATGAAACACACAGAAAGCAGCTAGCATTACTTTGTATGAATAATTACCAAAGTTTCTCAGAGAAAAACTGCAACAGTAAAATACCAACGGCAAATAAATGATTTGCCTAAGCTGGCTGTGAGCAATCTCTAGTTTTACAGAACACTGAATCAAAATGAACTATTTTTTAACCCAAATAGATGAATACATTTCCAAAATGTATACAATGTACATTGAAGTATAATTACCTACACTTTCCAAAATTCATTTGAAAATGTACTAATACATTTTCAACAGAAATGATCATTAGAAAGAATTATAGAATTATGATGATTCACCAGGGGCTGGGAAGGTGGCTCAATGGTAGAGTGCTTGCCTTGCATACATGAGGCTCTGGGTTCGATTCCTCAGTACCATATAAGCAGAAAAACTGGAAATGGCATTGTGACTCAAGTGGTAAAGTGTTAGCTTTGAGCTGAAGAGCTGAGGGACAGTGCCCAGGCCCAGAGTTCAGGCCCCACAACCGACCAAAAAAAAAAAAAAAGATAATGATGATTTACCAGGAAATAATGGAACTAGATCTACTCTAGAAAGATGAATAGATTTTATTTATTATAGAAAAGTCTTGGTGAGAACTATTTACACAAAGAACTGAGTTGGGTTTTTTTTTGGGGGGGGTCTCAAACTATATAAAGCCATTCTTGCTTATTAAACTTTATTCAGTTCTAGACCTCTAATTATTCTAAGCACTAAAGCAAATATACCATCCCTTTTCTTGGGGGAGAAAACCCCAAGACAGCTTCTTTGTCATCTAAAGGAAAGAAAAAAATAAACCACCCATTTCTGGAGAGGCTCCATTATTTATAATGATTATTTTATTTCCTATGATGACTTTTCTGACTGTGATTTCTCACACAGCTGAAGTCCTTTAATGAGCAAGGCATTTTCTCTCCTGACCATCACAGGTAGAAGCTGCCTTTGGAACAATAGCACCCTACCAGGATGGCTGCTATTCTAGAGGCCTTGCTGCATGCAAAATTACTCTAAGACCAACCTGACTCAGCTGCTTCTAGTCAGAAAGCTTCATTTTATAAAATACAATCCATTGTACCACAGGCATGGCATAAAGAACAAAAAGTTATAGATATTTCTCAAGACCCTTGCCCGACCTTGAGTCTCTGCAAGTGAATTTTTAAATTAAAGTCCCTTTCATATTTGATCACCTGTTATCACAAGCTAAAAAAACTCTCATTTTTCTCCTTTTGATAATGAACATTGTGTGAAGATTCAAATGTTGCTTTCTGCTAAATTGTCAATAGAGGGCACTAAAGCCCAATCACAGAATGTGAGACATACCTTACCAGTCTCTCCCCTAGGAACTTTTCCCCTCTTTATTCAAAAGCTCTAGCAGTGTCCCATATGGTTGCTTCTTTTGAAAGAACTTGCAACTTGTGAAAGATGCTCCCTATAGCTCATAAAAATATTATCAAACCTCTCCAATCAATAAGGATCAAGAAACTTCAATCTGTATACCAAAACAGAAGACAGAAGAGGAGAGAAAAGAGAAAATTAAACAACCAAAACACATGTGATTACTACCAGAGCTAGGATTTAAACCAGCCAGTTAAATTCCATCCATTAAGCAATACTACCTCCCTACTTGCCAATAAATTTTTGCTAAATGAACACAGGGTGAATGAATGCCAACATTTATCACCTCTCAATCTAAACTGCATCCTTTAAGTGTTAAAGGCCTATGTTCCTTAGCCCAGAGGATGAAAGCCAGAGCAAGGATGTGAAGCACGTGTGCACATACAGGTATATCATGGGCTTCTTTGCCAATTTTAATGTATACTACTTTCTCGAGAATCCATCTGTTTGGTGAGCACAAGAACACCTTTATATGAACAGATGCAAACATGTGACAATCATTATGCCCAAATGGATGCAATTCAAAGTTTCTGAAGTGTCTATAAAATGAATATTTGTGTCTGTTCCCAGAGATCAAAGAGAAAGCAGATTTCCCATAAACTCAGGCAGAGTGCAGGGGCGTCGCTTTCGGCAGGATGGTGATGCCACTAAAATGTCAACCACACACATCAACTACATGTGCAGGGCTTTAACCATGACTGCTCCAACACGTGACAAGAAACGCAAGCAAGGCATGCAGGAGGCAAAGTCACTAGAAAAGCACGAAATAGAGACCACCCAGCGGAAAGGACAAGAGATAGACCCCAGTCTACTTCATATGAAAATCTGTCTACAAATCCTTTTACCTTTGATATTTTGGGCACTTATGATCAACTGACAATATTAAGATAAGAAGTTGGCCCAAGTCTACATGTGAGAGGAAATATGGTTAATTTATATGTCTTACTTGTAAAGCATCAGCGTTCCATGCTGTGTGGTTTAGTAGCTCAATGCACCAGCACACCTGCTCTGCAGCTGTGGCACAAAGCGCTTCACCAACAAGGAAATTATTCCAGGCAGATATGGCAAAGCCATGTCAATAGACTGATACAGAAAGTACTCCACAAATGGAAAGAAATGACCTACCAGCCAGTGAACTCAGGTTACAGCACATATACCACAGAATCAGGCTCAAGGCTTCAGTTCATGGCTATTGCCTGCCTGCCTGCCTGCCTTCCTTTCTTCCTCCGTCCCTCCCTCCCTCCCTCCCTTCCTTCTTTCTTTCCCTTCCTTCTCTTTCTTTCTCTCTTTTCTTTTTTAAGGTGCCAGGACTAGGACTTTAGCTTAGGACTTCAAGTTCCCTAACCTTTCTGTTTAAGGCTGTTGCTCTACCATTTAGGCCACACCTCCACTTTTGGCTTTTTTGCCAGTTCATTGAAGATAAAAGTTTCATGAACTTTACTGCCTGGACTGAGTCCAAATCACAATCCTCAGCTCTCAGCCTCCTGAGTAGCTAAGATTACAGGCATGAGCCAACACTACCTGGCTCTTTTTAAACAAATCTAAAACCATCTTTTTCTCCCTGTTACCATTTTCAGAGAGTAAGGAAAACACGTCAAGTACTATTTGCTGAAACTGAAAAACACTAGAGTAGTGCTGATTTAAGATAGTGGTTGTAATTAATTATTTCAAAAGAGCTTCTTCTGATTTGGCCAATAAGCTAAGCAGTTATTTTTAGAAAAGACAAATAAATTTACTGTGAATGCAATAACTAAATGATTCTAATGAACAACAAGCAAATTTTTAACTAGACTGACTCTCAACCCATTAACTTTATTTTATAATAGAATAAAGCATTGCACTAATCACACCAATTACCACACCACCATGATATTCAAAGTATGTATGTACAGAATACAATTCAGTGCAC